CCTGATCTCATGCAGCAGCGATACAGTAATGGAGCGACCCGACAGCAAAAAAAAAACTAACATAAACACTATTATAACTGATTTAGGTAGGTTTGAGAGGGTAATTAAAATAACTAAGTGGGATGATCTGGACTTGAAGTGGTGGCTCCGTTCCCCGCCTGATCACAGCGGAGGAGCCGCCATGGTGACCTAAGAGCGCGTGTCTTCTCCTGGCTCAGATTAGACTTCACTCGTTTATGGTCCATTTATCGACGAGAAAGATAAATAATCTGAATTCAGGTGGGCTGGCAAAGGGTTTTACTTTTGACGCAGGGCTGGTGAGCAGCAGAGGTGGGGAGAGGCGGGGCTATTGCCTCATCATTATCAGAAAATGATCGTATAGGGCGTACACACGGAGCCGTTGGACCCCCCAGAGCGTTGTGTATGCCGTTCTATCCACCTTGGGACCCGTTATCGTTTCCGCAGTTGTTTACTGTCATATTCGGTCGTCTTCGTGTGGCCGAACGGTCTATATGACACTAAACAGAAACACAAACGACCGTTTTCGTCCTCGTGTGGCCGGGGCCTAAGCAATCTGACCACGTTAGTGTTTTTCATCAAATGTTTGTGTGGGGTAGCCCAATATTTGATCAGAGCTTTGTTATGCATCTGCCAAGGCTTTACAGTGTGTGTAGTGTCTAGTGTGTGATTTATTTACAAAGACTGACCGCCTCAACAACTAATCTAGTCTCAGATGAAATGTGTACTGGGCATTATTATGAAAGAGGGAAGTAACTGGCTGAAAAAAACGATGATTTTCAAACGTTTAATCACAAGTAGTGAGCTAATTCAAATTGTAGTCATAGATGCAAGTATTTAAGATAAGTTTTTCAGCAAAATACAAATCAGCGTAATGCTTACCTTTTTTTTTAATGAATTACCAATCATTCCCCCCTTAATCATGCCTCCTCCCTAAACATTAGCCCCTAAATTGTCCTCTGCTTTTGTTCCATTGCGACAGACTAACAGAGCTGTAAGTAGCGGGAGAGATGCTCTGTGGTGAATAACTATGACCAGGATGCACCCTTTGTGTCCAATGTTAACAGTTAACACCTTTTATTAATCCCACTAGGGACATCCAGTGACCGAGCAGCAACAGCATTAAGAGTAAAACACAGGATAGGACAGTAAAGAGTTCACAAAAGAGTAGTTGAGTTTACATTTATACAAATTAAAGTCAAGACAATTATGAATATGAATAAATATTTTCAGTGCAAGCCATATGTCATATCACAGATGACCAACGTAGGCTTTCAAAACGGATTCCTTAAGGGTAAACATGAGACTCACTTAGGCTTTTTCAGGAGTTAAATGTGGTATAGCCATAAATAATATTCACATTCTCACAATTGAAGTTAAGGTTTATTTAAGAATTAAAAAAACTTCAGTAATAATAAGTGTTTATGAAGATTAGAATACTGCACCTATGGATGCATTAACATCCATAGGTGCAGTATTTTAACCCTGAATTAGCCCTAGATATCCTAATAAATCATTTTAGTCCCACCAGTCATTTGTCTTTTTAAATTGAATGAATAAAATCCAGCTTTTGTTTGTATTCTAATCAACTTTTGGTGGTGTGTGTGTGTGTCCTTGTGTGAGTAGGAGACAAGGCTCTAGACGGCTACAGTAAAAAGAAGTACGTCTGCAAGCTCCTCTTCATCTTTCTCCTGGGCCATGACATCGACTTTGGACACATGGAGGCCGTCAACCTCCTCAGCTCCAACAAGTACACAGAGAAACAAATCGTAAGTTTGTCCTCATGTTCACACACCAAGCTGCCATGGAAATATGTTTGTGTACAGGTGTGGGACTAAGGAGTATACAAATATATTGTAATTACACTAAAACATTCTCCCATGTGCCTTTCCAGGGGTACCTGTTCATCTCAGTGCTGGTGAACTCTAACAGCGACCTGATCAGTCTCATCAACAACGGCATCAAGAATGACCTGGCCAGCCGCAACCCCACCTTCATGAACCTGGCCCTGCACTGCATCGCTAATGTGGGCAGCAGAGAGATGGCTGAAGCTTTTGCCTCTCAAATTCCCAGCATCCTGGTGGCAGGGTTTGTACATCAAAATGATTTTGTATGAAGACATTTCAACTGGTGAAGTCTCAAACTCAATTCATTTGATCCACAAGCAGTTTAAAAATGCAAATGTGAGCCTGAAAGACAAATACGCCCTCTCTGGGCAAGACCTTTTTAGATATTTTCAGGTAAGACATTTTGTTAAACCCCAATTTCCGTCTTTTCCACATACACCCCCAAAATGATCTCGTGATTTGGAAATTGTACATAACAAAAAGGGTTTCATTTCAGAAATGTATAATCTTCTTATGACACTGAACGCTCATACCCTCGCTAAGAAAAATCTTGGGAAGCTGAATTATGGTCAAATCTTAGAGATGAGTTCTGTGATGCAGCTGAGAATATATACATCAACATCCTGTGCACGCCTTGGGCTGATACAATTGAATGTCCTGCACCGGATGCTTAGTTCTAAGAAAGAAATGAAAATGAATGAAGATCATGGTCTCAATTGGGACCCTGTATGATTGTACCTGTTCCTTTTAATAAATAAACTGAAAAATACACGTGTAATCATAAGACATAATGGTGTATTGGATTGACTTGTGCCTGCAGGGACACGATGGACAGCGTGAAGCAGAGTGCAGCGCTCTGTCTGCTCCGGCTCAACAGGACCTCTCCGGACCTGGTGCCCATGGGAGAATGGACCGCACGAGTGGTGCACCTGCTCAACGACCAGCACCTGGTAAGACTGTCCCAAGTCCTTTCCGTTCCATAAGGAGTCTGAACAAGTGTCATGTGTTCTCCTGGGGTTTGACGGTAAACAAATCTCACGGTTCAGTTAATACCCAGATTTAGACCCCATTTACACGGGAACGTTTGTGTTTACGCACCGTATGCGTTTTCAAAAAAGTCTTCCATTCACACGCATTCGGCTCAATTAACGTGTCCGTTCAGACGAGACCGCTCGACCCGCTGGAAACGCTGTAGTACATATGCCGGGCCTATAAGTGGCGCTGCTGACGCCACAAAATACACCTAAACAAATATTTTCCCTAATGGCAACAGGTCCCCATTGCCTTTTTAAGAGATAATGTGCAGCAAGTCACTCAGTCGCGATCCTGCTCACCCTGTCGGTGTCCTTTCCTGTTAGTGGAAAAAAGTCAGACCCTTGAAATGAATTCAGAATTGAGTATTCAGCAAAGACGTGTAATGGAAACACAAAAAGCATCTCTTATGGCTGGATTGTTTAAAAATAAAGTAGCATCTCTTATGGATGGGGTATACAAATTTGCATTCAAAAAGCATCTGGCTACTGCTGTGAAATGATATCATGTGTATCCCTTCCTCAACACATGTTGGTAACACCTTCAAGAAGTTTCCGAGCTTGTTAACTTAGGAAACGCAGAACGTCCATCAATCTACATGCCTTGAGTTCTGCATCAGACCGTGACGCTACGCTAACGTAGGCTGGTTTGTGACGCAGTGTTTGTTGTCTTTGGAGTCTTGATTGTGTCATTTGTTCACTGAAATGTTACACACAACTCACTGTTTTGTTCTTACCCATAACTGTGCGTCATGGTTTCATGTTCAATACAATGGGAAAAAACCCTCTTGCCTGTGACTAAGGGAGCTTTTAGCCCACTGGCAACTTTGATCAACTATTTTCATAGTCAAAATAAGTATCATTCGAACACTGTATAACACGGAAACAAACACTTTCCCAAAAGGCAACAGGTCACAAAAGGCTACAAAACTGAAAAGCAATGCTTTTTTTGCTATGAAATTTAAAATACTTATTATTGTCATCTTTTTACCCATTGCATCTAGTTGATACTGTCATATCATCTGTTGGCTTGTTTCATTTCTTCAACGGTTTTACAGGTTCAAGTTTCTTAGCTTTTTGAATCTGCATTCACTGCAACAATCTACGTACCATGTGTTCTGCATGCACTGTAACTTCATGTCACAGCGATTAGTTTTGTCTCCATCTCACCCCTCTCATCGTGTGTGTGTGTGTGTGTGTGTGTGTGTGTGTGTGTGTGTGTGTGTGTGTGTGTGTGTGTGTGTGTGTGTGTGTAGGGAGTAGTAACAGCAGCCACCAGCCTCATCACCACTCTAGCCCAGAAGAGTCCTGAGGACTTCAGAACATCCATCTCTCTGGCTGTGGCCCGGCTCAGCAGGGTCAGTGTTTCTGTCTCTTTACATGATAACTTCATTCACTGAGGTCAAAGATCAAATCTAAAATGAACATATATGAATGTGTTACCTTGTTCTTTCTGGTCCAGATTGTGACTTCAGCATCCATCGACCTACAGGACTACACGTATTACTTTGTTGCTGCACCATGGCTGTCTGTCAAACTGCTACGCCTGCTACAGTGCTACCCTCCACCTGGTATGTTAGTACACTTATGTGTTTCTGCACCACAAATGATTATCCAGTGGAGAAACATACAGTCCTATCACCTGAAAAGTAGTAGAACTTATTCACTGGTGCGGCTTTCACACCAGCGCTTTTCCCGTTGTAGCTCTGTGCTAGAGCTTTTCTGGTTCAGCTCCGGTTTCCATTTTCTGCTCCCGCTTTGTTCACACCACACAAAGCCGAGGTGGTACTGCATCATTGCCTCATCGTTTGCGTCATGACGTAACCGTTTACGTGCCTGCTTCCTAAAAGCCAAACCGCGAGGAAATCCCTCACATCGACAACAACAACAACAATGGCCGATTTGTATTGAAGTGCTGTTCGCTTTGGTTATGCTCTTACGAAACGAAATGGAAGGCATGGGACGACTTTACAAGGAACGACTTTGCAAGGGACGACTTTACTTGGACCTTTCCAAACATCACATGCGAAATTCAAGACTTCTTTGCGGTCTTCAGGAGGTTGATCCCGCCCATGCCCCTGCCCCCGCCTCGACGTAAGAGACGTAAACGGCGCCGCCTCTTAGCTCCGGAATCTTGCTAGACCGCCAATTTTTTGGAGCTGGAAACGAACCGGATTCCGGAGCTAAGAGGCGGCACCGCTGCGGTGTGAAGAGGAAAAAAACGGTACTTTTCAGGCTCTAGCTCCGAGCCGGCCCTTAAAACGCGTTTGTGTGAAAGGGGCATGGGTAAAGTGGGCAACTTTCTTTCTTCAATAATATTTTTACACTATTTAATTGGATGATCAAACATTGAGGGTAAATGTAGTCAATAAAAGCAATAGATTCCTCATTGCTACTCTGTGGACAGATACATCAGAATTCTCCTGCTGCTCAAGAGTTGTAGTTAGGCACCATGTTTCACCTAAAACAAGAACCACAGCATTTTCCCCAAAAATTGTGCCGGTCAACGTGTCTGGAAAGATTTCAGTGTTCCAGGCCAAATGTCTATCAAATATTATCTGTGTTTATGATTTAGCCAAAGAGAAAACTAATAAAGGCTTTATAAAGAAGGACTTCATCAAGGCAAATGACATGTAGGCTTGTCTGGCTTTTTTTTCTTCTTTTCTGTATGAATGCCATCAGAGACAAATGTTTGGACACCCTTGTTTTAAATGAATATAATTTCCATTTGTATAAAATAGAATAGTTGCATGAATGGATTTTTGACACTAGATGGCACCAGAGTAGGCAAATACATTTCAGAAAAAAATACATTCTATGAGATATGTTCAAATATATCAGCTTTTCCTACTATTTTGGATATGGAGGTGAAAAACCTTGATTTGAGTCCCAGCTAAATGTCTGTGTTTTTAATGGCTTGAGTTGTTCAGAACACGCTGTCTGTTGTTGCAGAGGACGCAGCGCTGCGCAGCCGCCTGACAGAGTGTCTGGAGACCATCCTCAACAAAGCCCAGGAGCCCCCCAAGTCCAAGAAGGTCCAGCACTCCAACGCAAAGAACGCTGTTCTGTTTGAAGCCATCGCCCTCATCATCCACCACGACAGGTCGGTCGTACTCCTCATGTAACTCTGGTTAATTCCCCGGGGTTTTATAATTGGGCCACTAGGTAGACTTTTAGTAAATCCTGTTGGATTCTAACATGTTGTATTCAGTCCTGTAGCCACATAGCATCTGCGCTGTTTTGCAGAAAGGCACTTGACAGAGCCCCCCCC